ACATATTTTTTCTGTTATGACGCTCAGCAGCTACAAATTCGAGAAAATGTCCTACAACTAACAGGTGATGAAGACTTTGTTGAAGCAGGAGAAATCATAAATGCTAGAAGACAACAGAATAAATACAGATACAGAACTGATCTCTTTGTAGAGTAGAATGACAGGGAATTCATTCAAAGGTTTCGACTTTGTAAAGAAGCTGTTCGATTTGTTATATGTCGAAGCACAAATAATGTCTCCAACAAATTGGTGAGTATTCTTCTTTAAATATTAACTAAATTAATATAAATTTATCTTATTTTTTAAAAAAAACTTACATGCTGTTCATATTGATGTTTGTATATGCTTGATGGATGTATTTACTGGCATAATGTTTCTTACAATTTCAAGGGATGAGTGGAAGAGCACTAGATAGTGAACTCCCCCTTGTGGTTTTCAGACAGTCGACATTTGTTTTATTTATTTTTATTTTTTTTATTTTCCTTTTTTTTTTTGGTTAATACTCATATTTCTCTGTCTGATTTTTTTTTGAGAACTGTTTGGAAATAAAGGCTTTTATTATTATTATTATTATTAATACATATTTATTTTCAGGAATCATGCTGTATCTGTGGAACAAATGGTTCTTGTTACTTTTAGATATTATGTGACAGGAAACTTTTTCAAACTCTTGGAGACCAGAGCTATAAAATATATAAAAATGATATCGCCTGGGGAAACAATGCAGAAATCTTTAGAAACAGAAAAGGCTTCTTTTCTTTTAATCTTCGAACAATATGGGTCTCAAACTGCATGTATCAGGATGTGGCATGCCATAGGTAAAGCTCAAGCCATGATTCACACATATTTGCAAACTGAAGAGAAAAGCTCAGCAATCAGAGGAAAAATTTCTGAATGAAGCAAGCTCAGCTCTAAAATGTCTTTCTGAGAAAATCCGCTGTAGTAATAATCAAACAACAACCAACTCAAATGAAAATATTGCATTGGCAAATTTCATCGTTTCAAAACAACCAAATTGCAGATGAGAGCATTAGGCTAGAAACTGAGGCTGAAGTTACTTCTAAGCTTTATGAAGGCATAAGAAGAAGCAGACAATTGGGAGACAGTGCAAGATGATATTTTACACTTTATATTTTTCTGAACCATTTGCTATGAATAAACTTGTTTTACTTCAATTTATGTTAAAATCATTACTATTAGGTGGCCTCAGCCATCAAGAGAAAATATTGTTTGTTGTAGCTAAAGTGTACTAAACACAGTACTGTTTGTTAATGGCAAGCACAACTGAATGTACTAAAAGTGTTGTGTTATAGAGTTCCTATTTTAGTTGAATGTTCTAAAACTTGTTAAATACTTTAAATTTATGTTAATAATGTATATCAATAAATAAAATAAAAAATAGTTGAAATTGTTTATTGTAGTCACTTGCCAGGAAACACTTCCACATTAATTAAAATATTGTTTAAATAAATCTCTTATATGTCTTACATCATTTGAACTTCTATTTCAAGTTTGTGATCTTACTTGAGGAAGTTGCCGAACCCTTTCTCCCTCAAAATCTGTGTAAGGTCTATTATTTTCTGTAGCGAAATTATGTAAAATGACACATGTATAAGTGATTAGTTGCACAGTTTCTACCTTAAAATTTATAGAATACAGTAGTACCCGAAAACGGTTAGCTAATATGGCACGAGACAGCCTATAATTGTAGATACGACGTTCCTAATCCAAACCTCTTTGTGGATATGGTTTCATAATATGCTGAGACAATGGAAACACATCATCTGCCACTATTACATATGGTATTATGTCTGATAATACTGGAAGCAGCTGTGGTTCAGGAAAATTTAGTGAATTCGTTGAAATGGCCTGTCACAATTGCTTTTTCTAAAAACATCTCCATCACTAAGTCTTCCATTCATACCTATATTCACATATTTAAAGCGGTATTTTGCATCTACTAAGCCTAAAAGTACAATACTATTTGTTCCTTTATAGTTATAATAATATGAATCACATGAAACTGGAACTCTGAATGTGATATGTCTTCCATCACGTGAACCAAGACATAGTGAAAATTGCCACATCTCATTATTTCCTTCTGCTATAGCTTTCCAGTGGTGAGTTTCTGTTGGTGTTTGTAATAAAAATTAGTTAAACTAAAAGTGCACAGGAAATTCAAGGCTGATTAATCTACCTGTCTAATACTAGGCAGAATTACCAAGTCATGGATCATTGAGAAACTACAGGATAAGTTTCAGGAGTTACTTCAAGCAACGAATTTACTTACTTTTAGATAAGTTTGCTTTAAAGTGACTATTATAGCTTCACATACTTCGTTTACAATTCTAGAGTTGGTTGTTTCATGTATTTGGGTAGAGTACATTAACGACCTGTATGGTTCAACCAGTTGCAAGGGATCTCAGTGTTACTTCCAACCTGGAATAAGATGGCACTTAAGTTATCTGGACTTATAGTATCCTAATTCTAGCTGAGTAAAAATAAGTACTCAAAAGTTACATTGAATAATTCGACAAGAATACATATACATACATACATACCTGTTTCGAGCTGGGATAACCTCTCGCATAACAGTATCCATTCTTGATATTCTGCCTTCAAATAAAGACAAAAGATGCACGAATTGTTCATTAGAAAGTCTTAAAAAGTTCGTATAAGCTAATGGATCCTCCACTTAAAGTTCTTTATTAAGCATATGGAGCACACCCATGCCCGGCACGGGTATTACGTTTCTTGAAAAATGACATTGACGATTTTTTTTGACATTATATTGTTTTTTTTACATTATGTAGGTTTTTCTACAAGATGTTAACGCATCACTAGCTGATGGACACGTTGTGAACTCGTTTTGTAGTTGTACGTGTTGCCTAAACGCCATGAGGCTTCAGTTATCAATGTTTCGCTCTGATGTGATTTAAAATCTGCTTCAGAGATGGCATTACTACAGGTAATGACAATGAATAGGTGCATAGTGAGGATTTGTGTGCTAATAATATGTGTTGATAATTTATTGGATTCTTGTCTCAAATACACTTACTTGAGATTCAAAGCTAGAAATTAGTTGCACATCCATTTTTTCTTATCCATTCTGGAAATTACATATGCAAATTTACTGAATTTCAAAAACGATAGAGATAAGAAATAATTATATTCACTGTACACTGTCGAATTATGTCATATACAGGTTAACAGTAATTACACATAACGCGGGCGCGGTGGTGATTTCCCGTAATTCTAGTCAAAGTTTTTGAAAACACTAAAAAACGTAAAAAATCGTAATTTAATTCAGTAACAAAATTTCTCACAAAATTTGGTACTAAATTTGGCACAAAATTTCGTATCGTGACAGACCGCCTTAAGGCATAAAAAACACATACACGCCTTTAATTTTCAATAGAATATCAACGTTAATATCGACTTCTCAATAAGTCAAATATTTTGTGACAAATTTCCAACTATGGGTGTGTTAAAATCTAATTACGTAAGTGGGTAAAAATTTACAGATTTGCAAAATAACGCCCATTTGCATCCAGGCATTTTTGACAATTGGTGACTGTTTTTCGTACAACCTTAGATAGTGTATTTCTGTTAATGTTTCTAACTTTGCTCAAAATTCTTTGTCTCAGGATTTCTATGGTCGCAGGGGGATCAAATTTATAGAACCCATTCTTTGTGTGACCCCAGAGGTAGAAAACCAAGGGTGAAAGGTCAAGGGATCTAGGAGTCCAAGATATTGAACCATTTAATGAAATTATTCTTTCACCAAACTGCTCTCTTAAGAAGTTCCTGACTTGATTGGTGTTGTGACCTGGACAACGATCCTGTTGAAACCAGGTTCCTCTAAACTCATATTTGATTAGACTAGCTCGTAAAGCCGGTACAACCTGGTTTCGCAAAAGTTCTAGGTACCTTTGACCGTTTAGGTTATAGTCAAACAAAAATGGTCCTAAAACTCGATTTCCTGAAATGATTAATAGCCAATTTCAAATAGATGCCCAATTAAAAAAGGTAAGTAAGATTAAATTATCAATGAGCCCACACCAAACGTTAGTTCCAAATCTGGTACGTAGACGTATCTCTGCCACTTCGTGAGGGTTTTTCACAGCCCAATGATGAGTGTTGCGCTTATTAAAAATTCCACAATTCGTAAACCTACTCTTATCGGACCACAAGACATGATTTACAAAATCAGGATTTTCATTAGACTTCCTAGTATACCACTCACAGAAGCGCATTCGCCTTGGAAAATCAGTTTCAGTTCTTGAACTATTGTAGATTTGTATCGATGGTACTTATTCTTATATCAAATCCAAGCGAATAACCAAAATTTCTGTGTTATGTGCCGTGGTCATAATATGGTTCAAGATGACGTCAGTTACACGAATCGCTTGAACGCGTTGGTTTTAACCGCGGTTTTGTTGCAAGTTGTTTATTTTAGAAAAGCGCGTATATAATCTCTGATTATTTTTATTATCACTTAATAATCGGTGCTTTTTCGTCTACAACTGTATATGGAAAGTTTAAATAAGAAACCTTTCATAATATTCATGGGAGAAATGTTTTTTTCAGATTTTTTTTTTAATGATGGAACCATGGCTTTGTAGCTATGATAACTTTCAATTCTCTTAATTTTTCCGCATGTCAAAGAAAATATTTATTGATTCAGCAGAAATGATGAAAAAAGAAATTAACAAAACCGTATACAGGTGGATATCATCTAGTGAGTTTATATGGCCATATTTTAATATTCTTGTGGTATATGGCTACACAGGATACTTTGTTAAGCATAGGAACTACATTTAAAGTGTCCCCAACAACCGTAATGAGTATAACTAATAAGGTGCTCCACTTTATGGTAAAACTGAAGTCAGCCTGTATCATTTTTCTCAAAAATGAAACTGAAGTACAATAACAATATCCAATACCCGGCAAAATTCTAACTTGTCACATTTCAAATAATAACCAGAAATATAAAACTACTCTTGAGTTGGGTAAATACCACAATTTTGCGGTGATAACTATGACATATAACAGCTGATTCCATTTCCATTTGGTTATCCGCTTGAATTTGATTTCTGTACTGTTGATGTTGACACACCAATTTCTCGTTCTATAGATCTTACTGGTGGAATAGGAACTTCGTCGACAGCTTATAAAATGTTTCTGTTGCGGTTTTTATTTTCAATACCGTAAAGTGGGGTTACTTTGCTCCACTTGGAAAAAAGTTTGTAATGATAATCTATAGAAAACCAGTAAAGCAACCCACGCAGTTTCGTGGCTGTAATGAAGGTTGCATATAATTCAACTGTTAAATTAAGGCGTTTTAAGTATTTCTATCACGTTCTGGTGCAGAAGTCAGTTATCCCGGTAAAATCAGTGTAACCAGTGCTCTGCAAAAATCTGTTGATATCTTGTGCATCTTTTGACGTAAATCAGGAAAATATTGTTTTATTACATCTTTAATGCATTTTTAAGAGAATAACAACAATATTTTATTTCAAAACAAGGCACTTAGTCTTTTAAAAAATAATTATTCAAAATGTGCCAAAATATTGCAAAGTTGGGGATACTTTGCTCCACGTGATTTGTGGCGCAAAGTATCCCTCGTATTTTTTTTAACTATTGTCACATACTTTTCTTATAAGTTGAGCGAAGTATGATGTTTTTTAATTTTTTTGTTATAGAGATGGCCAGAAAATACAAAAGAAAACTGGGCTCAAGAAGATACAGCGACTATAGCAATGAAGCACTTGAGGCATGTTTGGCTGAAGTGAGGGCTGGAAAACTTTCACATAGACACGCAGAGGCTAAATAGAACATTCCAAAAAGAACAATTTACAATAAATTGAAAGGAAAACACTTGAAACCATTTGGAAAACAACCAGTGTTTAACGCACATGAAGAAAATCAGTTTGAGAATTGTATAATCTTCATGGGAGAGTTCGGTTTTCCCATAAATGTTAGAGAACTTCAAATCATTATGAAAAACTATCTGGATCAGGCTGGAAGACAAGTTAAATATTTTCAGAATAATTTCCCTGGGCGAGAATGGGTTAAATCATTTTTAAAGCTTCATCCACGGCTTTCAGAAAGATTTGCAGAAAATGTAAAAAGAACCAGAGCTGCAGTAGATGAACGGGTTCTGAGAAGCTTTATCGAAAATTTACACGAAGAAACAAGAGACGTTCCACCAGAAAACATAGGGAACTTTGACGAGACTAATTTAGTGGACGATCCAGGGAAAAAGACAGTTTTGGTTAAAAAAGGTTGAAAATACCCAGAGACTATCAGAAATGCCTCGAAATTTTCTGTTTCGGTTGTTTTCTGGAAATGCTGTTGGAGAGCTTCTCACGCTCTATGTGGTTTATCGAGCTCAACATATGTGGACTACGTGGGCAGAAAACGGCCCGAAAGGTTGCAGGTATAACGGAAGCGCTAGTGGGTGGTTTGATGCTGCAATTTTTAACGACTGGCTCAGAAATCAAATGGTGCCTCGGCTCAAATAATTAGAAGGTATAAACATCTTGATATATGACAATATTTCGTCCCATATTACTGTGGACCCACGACAGCTTTGTCGGAAAAACCAAATCACCCTTATATGCTTACCTGCTAACAGTACCCATTTGACCCAGCCTATTGATGTAGCCATGTTCAGACCGCTTAAAAGTGCATGGAGGAAAGTTCTCTCCGAATGGAAAGATTCCCCTGAAGGTATCCGAAGCGTTACTGTTCAAAAGCAGCAGTTTCTACCATTATTAAGTAAAATGCTACAAGTTCTTGAACCTAATATTGCAGATAACTTAAAATCTGGTTTTCGTGAGTGTGGCATTCATCCAATAAATGTAGATGAACTTTTAGGCCGCATTCCTAGAAATACTTGTAATCCAAATGAAGTTCACTCCGCCTTTCTCCAAAATTTGCACGACAGAAGATCTGAATCAACAGTTGTTGTCAAGGCACGTAAAAAGAAGTTAAATGTCCCTGCGGCAAAAGTGTCTGCGCTGACGTCGATGGTACAGATACAAATGTGCCAGATGAACCCATGACTTCCAAACCAAAAGAGAACATTGGTCCAGTAATGTTTACTGATAATTCATCTGATGATTTTGATGAAATCGTAAGAGAAGAGGAAGAAGAAAAAGCTTTCACGGACTACATCGATGGCAAACCATCAGCGAAAAAGAAATTAACATTTTCAGAGGTTTTGAGGGAAATTGGGCAATTTGTGGTTTTTTCATATGAAGGAGAAAACTACCCAGGTCAAATTGTAAGCTTTACAGATATATACGTAACAATTAAAGCTATGGAAAAATCTTTCAAATCCTGGAAGTGGCCACAAAAACCAGAAGAAATGACCTACCCCTGGCACGACGTATTAGGATCCATAAAACCTCCTGTTCAGATTTCTAAGAGGGGACCTTAAGATGTTCCAGAGTTAAAATCCTCGTGGTTTTAGTCTTAATATTTGAAGTTACACTTAAACTACAATTTTTCCTTTTTTTGTTTGTTTCGTTTAATTGCGATTTTTTAGAAATAAGCACTGTTCATTTGTATTTATTAAGTTTTTCAATAATAAAAACTGTTTAAAAAAAATTTGGATACAAATTGAAGCCATACATTTTTACTAATGTAGGTACTTTGCACCATATATTTGTATAGCATTAGTTACACTTAGTTGAAATTGGTGGAGCAAAGTTACCCCACTCATTGGTATGGTTTGCGCCACTTTTAAACAATTAAAAAAAATACATACAATTATTTTTTTATAAAAAAATCCACATTAACCTAATTAACAGACATATATTTGCAATCGTCTGGTATTCTGGGGTTTTTTTATATCCTTTTTCATTTTTTCTAAACAGATTTGTTAAATTCATCTTAAAATTGGAGCAAAGTAACCCAACTTTACGGTACTGTATCCGCTTCTAGGTTGTTCGAAGGCCCAATCGTTTATTAAATTAACTACTATTTTCTAAATTAGGTTTTATGAAGCTGCCGTCGTTCGGGGTACATCTCTAAGTACCTTGCTCAGGTAATGTCGGCGTTTCTGTGTGACTGCAAGTGCTGCGCTAACATGTAAAGCTTTTCTTCATTTGAGTAGGAAATACCGGTCATTTTCAACAGGTTTTGACAATTTATTTGTCAGATTTATGATTTTAATGAGAGAAAACGTACCTACTACTTATTAAAACACAATTTTAATACTTTGAATTATTTAACGTCAAAGTCAGATCCACCTTAGATAAAAAATGCGTTACTTATTAATTTTATTTTCTGACAAATAAATCATCGCCTCCTTAGAAAAAAAATAATACATAACATTACGTGTGATGATATTTCGATAATACTCCAATATATATTTTATGCACTTGTGAGACATCAATAGGCTGGAAATTTTACGCGCTTTTCAAAAATCAAAAAACAATATGGCAGCCATAAGAAAAATGCTGCCGGAAAACAAAAGACTATTGAGGCATGTCACACACGCTATCTTATTTGCCTTAAAAATGTCCGAATAATGTCACATTTTGAAAGCTGTCAAATTAACCGCTTCGGATTTATTGGCAAAAAACATTTTCGGTTTTTCACCGATATTTCCAAAACCAATTGACCGATCGTAAATCTGGAGCAGGCAATCGAATGCACTAAGTTTCATCTAAAACTTTACCCATTTAACCTTTGCGGTAGGTATAACAGGAGTCGAGATCCCTGTATAGAGAATCGAATGTGAGACACACTGCATATATAGATAATATCGCACCCACCTGGTATGTGCATATTGCAGTGTGTTACCTGCTCTTAGTACTCCCTCAGCTCTGCTACCAAAGATGTAATATTTACAATACCGTGGCACACGGCAAATGCGACCGATAGGTACGCGATCAGTCTGCTGAAAATATTTTTCTGTTTTAAGGGCAAATGCATAGTTTGATGTTTGCTGTTTTTTGAGATCTCAGTGATGTTTTATTAGAGCTTCACAGCTGTCGTGTATAGCAATTTGAATCAATCACAACAGAACAATACTTTGTCTTAGTATTGCATTGTCCTTCACTTATATGCTACTCAAAATAATTAAATAACCACAGTGTGAAACAACTTGTCTCTGATTCAAACTTCTCTCTCACTTATTATTAAACTATAGTGATGGCGTGCACCAAAAAACATCGCTAAATGTCTTCTAATACCTTACTTAATTAGAATGTACGTTATGTATAAACATGTTTAAATACTCTAATGGCATTATACGTGTATATATCATCAATGGTATCTTTGGTACGTCAAAAAAATTATGAGTACATTCATATAACCTCCTGGATCAGTGATTAAACATTGCACGAAGTTACTTCCTTACTGATTTCAGCGAACTTTTCAGACATATCTCGATTCACTTTCTCCATTAAAGTATCTATATCGTTTATAGTCAAACCTTTCGTTTCTACTTGAGGCAAAACGTGTATAATCACTTGACCTGAAATGGAGGATTGAAGTTATGAAGGTGGTCTCTTTACTTCCCATATGTTTATACAGTGTTTCTTAAGTGTTCAATATTTAACAGGATGGAGAAAGTTCATATAAACATATAAAATGCACCTTTATCGAGATATAGGCCGTTGAATCTATAATTTCAAAATCATGAAAAAGTTATATCTCCGGAGTGGAATCAGGTTATCAATTTAAAATTTTGTACATGCAGTACTAATAGCATAATCAATGTAAAAATGTGGCTCTAACAGTAGGAGAGAAAGAAAAATTATACTATTATTATATCTTTAGGAGAACATTTGGTTCCAATATTTGAGATATAATCATCAACGGCATCGACTTCCTGTTTCTTGGTAATGGGACATTTTTATATAAACATTTGTCTGAAAAACATCTAAGGAATCATCCTGTCAAGTATTGGACGCTTATTAAAAAACATCCTGTATATGTTACGTATGTTGCATATTGAAATCAACTGAAAATCCATTCTGAGAAGTAGCCCTATATGTTCCAAGTCTGTAAAAGCGATCACCATAGCCGTAGAGTGAAGTCATTGCGTCAACCGCAAACCACTGACGATTGCTCGTTCCTGGTACTGATACAATTTATTGTTCCCCGCCTTGCGGCTTTAACATACAAACACAAACAAAATATAAAAACAAGTATGAATAAAAAACGAGTAACTGTTAACATTTGCTCTGAGCTGAGGCCTTAAACTTCCACAACAGCTCATCACTTTCCCTCTCGCATTCACCCTTTCCGCAATTATACATTCTTCTCTTATATGATTTACACTTTCAATTCTTCTACCACACTCACATTCACCTATTTCGATCCTCAATCTAAATCTATGCAAGTAGGTCGGAAAATTACCATGTCCGGCGATAAGCTAGCAAACCCTAAAGCTTGGGTCCAGCCTGCCTTCTCCGACCTCTTTGCATAATACTTCATGTACATACTTTCTTTCTCACTAGTAACCCACTTTAGCTGCCATTATCTCGTTACTTGATCTTTTATTCAAATTTTCGCATCTCTCTTGTAATCCTCTCCGCGCCCCTATTTAGCCGGGCCATGGCAAATGCTTGTTCCAGAAGTTGTTGTATCCCGTATACAACTTCTTCCCGTTCAAGTGATTGTACACGTGTTAAGGAATACCCCAGTACCGATTGCCTTGTGGCGGTACAAGTCCGCCAACGGGCCACTTTAGGTCTATTTAATATCATTAACACGCAAAAAGGTGGTAGACAAGGACCAGTCGACCGAGGCGGTACCACCCGCTAGCTTTTTCCAGGGTCTCTTATAAATGTCCGCATCTAAGCTATGCAGTCCAAAACAAAGAAATTAATAATGATGGATCCCTCGAGCGCTAAGAATTCCGGACGTAAACTCACTCCACTCTCGGAATGTCCGGGTGGAGGGTGGGCTCGAGGGAACAACATCGAAGATTTGTGCTGCTCATCACTATTTGCAATCCAACCGTCCTGACAAGCTATTCTTGGCGGAGACAAAAATCTCAGAGTCTGCACCGATTAACCATGTTAGCTTCCCAAATTACGTGGTGCGCTCTAATCTGAGAAAGAACGGGGGAGTTGTGGCTTGTGTCCGCAGCAGTCTTTCCTGCTCCAGAGATGTTTCTTTGGAATCAGACCGGAAGGACATTCTGTGGCTTCGCCTCAACTCCAAAACATCCGCCAAATTTATTTGCTGCCTTTATCGCTCTCGCTCGAACCATAACTGGGATGACCTACCTCAATACCCCACCGACAAGATCGGCTTCCTGAACATCAATTACCACGCTTCAGAGGCAGTTCTTCTCGGTGAGTTCAATGCCCATAATGAGCTTTGACTGGGCTCAAACAACACCGATGCAGCAGGTCGTGCAGTTGAAGCCTTCGCACTTACTCAAGGGCTGACCCAGCTGGTGACGAGCCCCACTTTTTTCCCCGCGTCTCGTCACATGCCAGTAGCCTGCTGGACCTCTTTCTGACCACGCATCCTGTCCCTTAAAGCACTGCTGTCCTGTCCTCCCTCAGACCACGGTGTTGCGGAGGTTAGGTTTCGGTCAGAACCCGCTGTGGCAGCAGGAACTCGTACAGGCCGCAAAATTTGGCATTACAGACATGCCGACTGGGAGGGGCTCAGGGACTTCTTCTCTAACTTTCCTTGGAGAGATGTCTGTTTCACTGACGCGGTTGCATCGGCTGTCTGTTCTTCGATAACCGAAATTATCCACGTCGGAATGGAGGAATACATCCCTGTAGTGCCTAGACCAGGGTCCAACGGTTGGTTTAACAAATCGTGTGACGCTGCTCGTCAGAAGATCAAGACACACAGAACCTTCTTACAAAACTCCACCGTAGAGAACAGACAAGCCAACGTCGAGTCCAGAAACAAATATAACGAAGCGGTTCGCAATGCCAAAAATCAGCACTTTTCACACAGGCAGCCTTCCACCACTTACGTGTCAGAATGGAACGATTGTATCCGACTCAAAGGCCAATGCGGAAGTGCTTGCCAAGATCTTTGCTGTCAACTCCACCATTGACGTCTCCCTCAACGCCCAAGTGCCGTCAATTCAAAGGGTTCCCTACACTATGCGGGAGGTAACATTCAAGCATAAGGCCGGAAGACGAGTTGCTCTTGGTGCTCGACAAAAACAAAGCTTCTGGTCCGGACTTGATTCCTGCTATTGTACTGCAGAGGTGTGCAGCGGAGCTTGCTCCAGTTCTTTTGCGTCTCTTCCAGATATGTTATGAATCCAGCACCTTCCCAGAAAACTGGAAATTAGCTCATGTACAACCCATCCCAAAAAAGGATCCAAGACCGACCCTTACAACTACAGGCCTATAGCTCTGCTTTCTGTTATAAGTACGGTAATGGAGAGGTGCATAAATCGCGAGCTTCTGGACTACCACGAAAGTCACAGCTTGATTAGCGACAGGCAGTATGGTTCCCGGCACCAGCGATCCACAGGGGACCTCCTAGCTTACGTCACGCAATTGTGGAGTAAACTCATCCAGTCTTATGGCGAGGCTCATGTAGTTGCTCTTGACATCACGAAAGCGTTCGATTGGCTGTGGTACACTGCTTAAGCAAACTTCCATCCTATGGTCTACCAGAAAACCTTGCAGATGGGTGGCTGGCTTTATCTCTGGTCGCAAGATATCCGTCGTAATTGACGAGTTCTCGTCTTCATCCCACAACGTCAACGCGGGTGTTCCCCAGGGATCGGTCTTGGCCCAGACATTGTTCCTCTTACATATCAACGACCTCATTTCCTGCACGATCAATCCAATTCAGAGCTTCGCTGATGACAGCACTCTATATGCAGGAATTCAGAGTGACAAGCCGCTGAGCTGGAAAAAAGAAGACTAGCGACGATTTCCTCTCTGACGTGAGACCTGGAAGTTATCACTGCTTGGGGGCGCAACAATCTTGTACAGTTTAATGCTTCCAAAACACAGTACTGTACCTGGACGAACAAAAAGCGACCTAGCGCTCATTTGGTTTCGATGGATGGACGAGTTCTGCCAAAGAGCCAGTCATTTCGGCTGGTCGGAGTCCAGATCACCGAGGACCTGATCTGGCTACAAAGTACTTTTCACCGCATGACCTTCTCACTCTATACAAGGCCCAGATAAGACCTAGCATCAAGTATTGCTCACACGTTTGGGGTGCTGCCGCCCCGACTACATTATTTATGCTTGATGCAGTCTAGAGGAGGGCGGTCCGACTGATCGATGACTCTTCTCTAACAGACAGTCTCGGGACCCTTCCGCCCCGGCGGGCCGTCGGCGATCTCAGAGCTCTCTTCCATGATGCCGCCGCGCGATGTGCTTGCCAGACAGACCCGCCTGACTTTAGCCTCCTATCCTAACCGTGTCGAACTTCGTACATCCAGAACTTGCCAATATGACCGCTGCTTTGTCCAGAGGGTGTCGAGATTGTGGAAGAATCTACCAGAGGAAGATTTTCCCAGTTCTACCAACCTTGGGCAGTTCAAAAATCGTATTAACAAAATTTCTTTGGGATCATCATAGCAGCCGCGGTGTCTCGGCATTTAGGCTTCTGAATGCGCGGCTGCTTCGGTATAAAAAAAATACACACATGCAATCTTCCATTCGATCGCCTGTTTTTTTTTTCATCCGAATTGAATGCTTTAATTATTCTTTTGATTTCTCGTCCATTTATGCATCTGACGGCGACCTGACTGTGTTCTTATTGTCAGCGGCGATGATTTTTGCTGCTTTGCTTTTTGAAGGCATTTCCATATGGCTACCATATCTCCGTGTGCAGTATTGGACAACACGCTCCCGACCCTCTATCCATTCCATGCATAACTTCATTGTTCTTGTTTACTATACCTCCCACACCAGTCTTAACTTCTTTCATATTAACATCTACACTTGCGATCCACCCACTTTCAAATTCTTCCTCTCTGTCTCCTCATTCATTACACATGTTTTCCAATATGGGTGAGGCTTATCTTCACCCAACATTTTGCTCTCAGCAATTTCATTCCTTTTAGCCATTCTATACACCTCGCATTCGCTTCCAGCTTAACGGTTTCATTTCATTTATTACCTCCATACTCTCCGTCGCTGTCGTTCTATACATTCGCCCTATCATCAGACCACACATCCTTTGAATCGCCTTTAGATGTCTCATTACCCTACTGTCTGATGCACTTTCTCCTCATTTTTCACATCCGTACAAGATCGCGCTTTTTATACTCTTTCATAGGTTATAATTTCTTTGTTTGCCTAATTTCCTCTTTGTAAGTCCCATCTTTCCTATTATCTCTTCAATCATTTCTCTCAGATGTTTGACGTACTCAATGTAATTTTGCTTCTTATCCATATGCGCCCCCAGACAATTTACCCCGTCTTTCATTTTCACTCTCTTACCTTTCATTCTTATTGTCGGTTTTCTAATTCTACATCCCATTTCCACAAACGTGCATTTTGTCTTACTTTCGTTGTATGT